AGATCATCAAAAGAGGGTCTCCTGCTAGGCGTGGGGATGTAACAGAATCCTATAATCCATGTTCTCTGTGGAGGTAATCTGAGTTAATTCGCAACAAACCTGAAAGCTAGTCCTGCTCTCTGATTCCACCTACAGGCATGAAGGGAGAAATCAGAGAGAAAAGCCTGGGATAAGCCACCTGAGAATAGTTACAGCATGATAAAATGCGAAACTATTCACCTGAACTCTGACCGTAACTATCCACGCTGCCAAACACAGTGCTTGGCAACCACCACCCAAGCCTGTACTGGCTGCAATCAGCACGACTGGGTCGCAGGGGAGATCAGGGTACCTTATAAAAGCAAAGAACAATACAAACATAAAGTGAAAATATTAGGACCATTGATTTTTCTTTTAAAGTAAGAAAATGAATCTTCAATTCTTCTCAGGTTAAATTCTATTATACCAAGTTCCAAAGGACAGTCAAAAAAATTTTGCCTATTGGATTTTTGCTCTACTAAACAATTCATCAAACTTTTGGTCATCAATCTTTTGTCCTATAAGGTATTTTCATTATAACAGCATTTGTGATCAAATTTCAATGAATCTTAAACTAAATTCTTCTACCCATATATTTTGTGTATTTTCATAATTTAGCACTTTCACTAATTAAAGTCGCCATTCTTGTGATTTTTTTTAAAAAAACACTTTCAACCTACAGTATGACTATTACATGAACAGGTCCCAAAATTTATTTAATCCACACAAAATTTCTTGTCAAAAATTATACCAATGTTTGTTAATTTACTTAACAGCTTTTATCTCTTTCAAACACACATATACAAGCTTCCAAAATTACAACATATAATAGAGAACAGAGAGAGCTTCCTCTGATACAAATAGAGAAGAGAATTTCCTCTGGTACAAGTAAGAATATATACAAAGAGATAATGTGATTTTTTTCTCATGGTCTTTACATAAGATAAATTATAATACAGAGCTGTTACTGATCAGATAACCATATCTAACAAAATCTATTTGAAGAGTTAACCAATGGCTTAATGGAAGCCTCTGAGCTTCATTAGCTAGTATTAGCACATCACTGAGCCTATAAAAATAGTATGCATACACACACACAGACATACATATACACACTTCTGATGTCTCTATACTGAGAAATCCATTAACTTGAAGAAGCTTAAGAAAGGCATCTTAATAGCCCATTTCAAATTCCCTTTTACTTATTTTAGAACAAGTCTCAGGCTATGCACAACTAAGCTACTTCTAATTCAATATAGAATATATCTTCTTAAACCACAATCCTCTAGTGAAAAGTTACCCAATACAAAATTTAAATCCAGGAACAAACTAGTAAGATTTTTCTGGCAAATTTTAACTGCTAAAAGGCAGGAGGAAAAAAAAATTAAATGTTTTCACATGAAAATAAAAAAACTAAATGCTGGGAAATCAGTTACTATAGGAAAGCCTCACTAATGTGAAACTCACTGAGGAATAATCTAAGGTACACAGAGGAACAAACCAAGCCAAGAAAGGAAAAAAGCTTTTCTTCAATGAATAGAAGGCTACCTTAAACAGAGGGGCAATTAATCTAACCCAGTAAAGTCCAACTGAATAAGAGTTTGTTTACTCTATTTTATAGAAGCGCCACTATTATGTGACATTGCTAATAACCAAACACACTCAACCCTGAAGACAATCTACTCAGGTCCAGTTGCCATGACCTAAAAAAACACTTTTTCGTCATCACACAGAAGTTATTATGAAACCAAATAAAACCATCATTTGTTAAAACAAATATATTCAAAAGTATAGTAAATATGAAAATGCATGGAAATGTGTAACAAAACAAAACGAGGTAAGTTTTAAATAAAAATAGCAATATTCAGTATGAAAAATTCATTATTTACCCATCTTGACTACCATAGGACTACAATACCACCTTAAGTTATGATCAAAAATTAACGTATCTAAAAACAATGTTTAAGCCAAAACAGAGAATGTCCTCCCAATTAAATGAACCCATTCAGACAAACAAAAAACCCAAACCTCTTGTTTCCATAAAAACTCAACCTTGATATTGAGAACATTTTCCATCGACGAAAATCCACTAAACTCAATTACCAAAATAGTGTCAATTATCTCTCCAGTCTCAGTCTCTTTACTCCTTTAGCTCACCTTTACAGAGCATATCGGATTGATCTCCCCTAAACATGTATTTCAGTACAACCCCCCTCGCTCAAAAAAACCTCAGTGCAACCCCTGGCCAGACCCTCCTCGTGCTCAAATTCCTTAGCCTGGCTTAGTCAACCAAGGCTATCCAGAACATGGCTCCAACCTTCCTCTCTAGTGTCCTCTCGTTACTCTTCTAGAAGAACCTTCTCCAGTCAAATCATTTGACCCATTGACTTCAGAATACCTTGTACCTTCATAATTAAAACATTTTCTTCTTCTTAAGATTAAAACTGTGGAAAGCAAAGCAAAATTTTCTAAACAAATTTAAAAGTTGGTAAGAATGAAATGTACGCAAACCTTATTTAAGAGAATAAGTTCATTTCTAGTGATTACCTAAAAGAAGTGAGAAAAAGAAAAGGTTTGGTAAAGAAACAAACCCATATCCATCTCTCAAGATCTTAATATATTCATATGGCAATGCTTCATTCAATTTTTGACTAAAAACTCTCGTGAAAGAACTGGTTCTGACAAGACAACAACAGATTTGGAAACCCTGGACAGTTCCCAATACTTAACTCACCTGATAATAGTTCATGATTCACTATCAGGGCCCAGTCTATTTCTAAACTACTAGTAAGTAGTGTAGGCTTATAGACTGCTAGTCCTTTCTAGGGAAAAGTATGCCCCTAATTCGCCCCAGAAATTTCAAAAAATCTTAAATTGTTTTAAAGGAAAAATAATTATTTTCATGACCATAAATAATATATTAGCAAGTTTTGGCTACTTTCAACAGATTTCTAAGCACTGATGATATCCTCAACTTAAACAAAAAATTAACTTTCCAAAAAAATACGAAGATAACTTATTTAAACCAATCCTCTGGATGAGAATTAACTAGAACACATCAGAATAAAGACAGTTTCCAAAATCCTAAATCCCTTCGTTAAGACATTACTTTCTGTGGAAACGGTGCCTGACACTTACGAAATTTTTTAAAATCTCTTTCACAAAAAAGAAAATACCAACACTAAGACTTGGTTTAAAATATTCAGAGGACAAAGAAATGTTTATCAACTTGTAACCTACAGGAAATCAGTTATTTACTGGAGACACTGACAATCATACACAAAAAAGTGAGGCAGCATCTGAGATATCAGACCATCACTGCATAATACTTACAGCCCTTGAACTAAGATAGCAGCAGCCTCCTGAGCTACGATAGATAACAAAAGGGTTATCCCCATGTATCTCATTCACAGGGCTACAGCAAAGGCAGAAAAGCAAGAATCAAAAAGAATACAGAGGAAAGAAAGGAACAGAGGGGTGAAGGGAAAGGCTGGAGAAATGGACAGACGGGAAGAGAGCTAAATATATAAGAACAGAAAGAGGAGGAAGAAAAATCAACAAAAATAGAGAACATGATGTTGAGGTACAAAGAAGGCTACAACTGCCTGAGGGGCATTAGTCCCAAAGGCAATGCACCACTGAGACTACACACCCTCTCACAAAGAATTGTCCAAGAAACCATTATATAAGGAAGTTTTAGGAGAACCACTGTTCTTAGAAAACCCCTGACTCTTGAGATGAACTGAACCCAGAATCTAATCTACCTTTTTCTGAATATTCTCAAACTGTATTCCTTTATTACACTTTATTACAATCATGTAAATTATAAATTTTGATTTTTAAGAGTTTTAGCCAGACTTTGTTTGATAAACTCCCAATCTAAGTTTAAATTAGTATGAGTTGTAATCCCATCAAATGAAGCATCATTACTAACATTTGTCTTTCTTTTTAAATAAAATAACTTTTGGTAATTTATGATAATACCATAGAAGAGAAAAATCTTTTTTAAAAAGAGGCTAAAACAAAAGATAAAACTTCTCAAATGAAATATTTCTTAATCTGGGTACCTATGAAAGTCATGCAAGATATAGTGGATGGGTCTGAGCATTTTGTTTTTAAAAAGAATAGGGCTAATAGAACTGGTGAGTGGGCCTAGAGCTACTGGAAATACAAAAATTATTTCACAGAGAGGCACTTAGTAAACATTCAAAGTCAAGAAGAGTTAATGAAATGTCATGAAGGGCAGAAGATACAAAAAATTAATATTTTGCTTTTGCTTGGTCTCTCCAAAACAGAAGGGTATCCATGATTGGCCCCAACATCCTCAGAACGCTAGGACTTAGGACTAAGGGGAGATATTACAATAGTTTGAAGCTCTGAAACCAATACTACAGACTCCAGGAATCTTTTCAGGCTCTGAGGAAGCTTAAATGAGCTCAGATTCTTTGACCCCAGAATACATTTTGACATTTGTTCACCAGGAAAAGGCACTTCTCAAAATTGGCACACACCATGAAGGTTTTTTCAGAAATTATCTAACTATGTGGTAAATGCATAATTTAGCCAGAACAATTTCTGAATCACTCTATCTCAAAATTCAGAATAAGAGTTGTCACTGAGAGGTTTGCTTCTTTGGATTTGGCTTTCTATATGTTTTCTTCAATTGTTTATTTTCTCTTACTTTCCATCACCTTATACTGCCACTGTCCTTCCACTCCCATCCTTTACTTTCCTCCTCTATATGTGCACAGACACATACAAAAAGAATATCAGTACCACTATGTATGTGTGTATGTGCACACATACACACATACATATATATGTATATGTACACACACAAAGACACACATGGCAATAGACCCGATATCAGAGTATACACCAAAGATGAAGATATAAATAATATTGCAGAATGGGAATAAATCCATTTATTCTTATTTCTACGATAAAACAAAACTATGGTTGGAAACTATAATACAACTCACCAGATGGCTCCTCAGGCTCACTTTCATTTTCTTCCTCAGGTGGGGCTTGAGGGGGTGGTGGGGGAAGCTTCTTTTCCTTTTCTGCTTTAGCATTTCTCTCTTCTTCGGAATAATACTCATCTTCTGAAAGGTTGGCCAAGCTTTCATCCATCTCTCTGTACTCTACCTAGACGGAGATTATACCAGGGAAAGCTAAATACCGTGAACATCTAAAATCAGGGACTTTATTTGGAACCATCAGTGCATGTGAACTGCTTTCTACCCTGAAATTTTAAGGGTAATAAGCATATAACAAGGAGCAAGCCAGCTTATAATAGGCAGTTATTAAAAACAAAAGTCTTCGTGGAACAATCTGGTGTCAGTTCAGGTTTAGCCTAATCTATAACTTTTACATCACAGCACTGACATTCAAGGTTATTGACTCTAAGGCTCTCCTACAACTTCTAAAGAAAATTTTTAACTGTGTGTATCATACTCACATACTGAAAGTTTCAACAAAAGGTTAAAACAATCCTCAGTTAGACAAAAATATGGTTAACTAGAATATCAAGTCTGTTTAATGTCAAGCCTGTGCTTCTAACTACTATTCCATGGGAAAATAGCAAAAGAATTCCAGGAAAGAAATGCGGGGGAGAGGTGGGAAATAAAGGTTACAAATAACAGTCAAACTGAAACTATAAAAAGGTGTATTTGCTTAAAAAAATGCACCTAAGAAAGCTGAATGATGAGCAAAGAATCCTTATTACAACAAATTAAGGAGTAAGTGATGTGGAAATGGAGGCCACAAGTCTCCCTACTAATTTACATTGGTTATAAAGGAGAAAGAAGCAGGTCATTAGTAAAAAGAGGAAGCAGCCTTAGTGAATGTGTCATTGGGGGTAAAGGAGCACAGGGCAGGGAAGACTGTATTATGTACTGGTTGGCCAAAATGTGTAAAATGGGTATTACAGATTGTCATCAACACTAGAACACTGTCAAATTGTCATTGTGACTTCCACCCTAATTAAGATTCCAGAAAGTCACAGAAACTATAGCTTTCTATTATGGATTTAATAAAAAGATTTTAATTATTACAAAGTCAATAAAAACATACAGTGACTAAAATAAAAGCAATGTATTAGGTGTGGAGATAGAGCAAAGACAACATGGTTTCCACATATAGCATACTTAACATATTAGGTTTCCAAAATAAACTGTCCTGTGGATTATAGTGAATGTAACATATTTTAACTTGCTAAATATCTTTGAAATAGCGCCAGATGGCTGGCTACTTTTATATTGTCTCCTTCTTCTCTTAAATGGTAGGACCACAAGATGTGGGGGACAGGGGATTAACTGGGGAGGCAGAAGAGTTTTACTAAAAACAGGGATTAAATTAAAAAATGGAAACAAAAATTAAGAATAGGCCAGACATGGTGACTCAAGCCTATAATCCCAGCACTTTCAGAGACTGAGGCGGGAGAATCACTTGAGGCCAGGAGTTGGAAATCAGCCTGGGCAACACAGAGAGACATCCGCGCACCCCCACTCCCATCTCTACAAAAAATAAAAAATTAGCCAGGCATGGTGGTCCACTCCTCCAGTCCCAGCTACTTGGGAGGCTGAGATAGAAGGATCCCTTGAGCCCAGGAGTTCGAGGCTGCAGTGAGCTACGATCACACCACTGCACTCCAGCCTGGGTGACAAAGCAAGATCCTCTCCCCTAAAAAAAAAAAAAAAAGAATAAATTGTCTAGTTCTGACCCATCATGCTCTAAGAATCTCATTTAACATATGAATATTCACCTACTAAAATAATGAACACTGAGTACATGGCACAACGGAGAACATGAACGAGTAGGTCCATGCCCCTAATAAACTGAAAATCTAGTTGCAACTAAACGATTCTGACCAGGTGGCCATCTCACAGAGGCTCTTTACAATAAAACCTACAGAAATGTAGATGATACTAAACCTTATTCTAATAGACTAAGATAAACTGTAGGAATAAATCTTAAGACAATGGATGAAAAAGCAGACAGGAGGAAAAACGGTTTCAAAGGGGCAATGGGGTCAGAAAATGTAATAAATGTTTATAGTATGCAGTTTTCTTTCTCATTTTTACCCCTTAACAGCTTGACCCTTCCCTTCTCCAAAGTTTCAGTGTTTTGATCCCCTGCCCATCAATCCTATTCATTCGATAATCACTTAAGTGCCTAATATGGAACTGGGCAATGTGCAAATTTTGAGACGAACACAAATATTACAAAATCCTTTCTACTGCAGTAGTTCAGGTTTTCCCAAAGGATGTTCCATTAAATACTATGCCCTTTGAAGGAATAAGGGATCCAAGATCAAGTTTGGGAAACTGCATTCTTTACAGGTCCCCTCTAGGAGATCATAATGCACATTAAAGGTACTGAGAAGTTTTGCAGCAAAAAAATAATCTTTTCTCTGTCAGTGATGAGGCAGGTTTAAAAAAATCTTTTCGACATTGTTTAATCCAATGTTTTGACAAAGAAGTAATTATTAACATGAAATACACTTGGAGAAGGCTGGTCTAGAGAGAGCTCTTAGTCGTCAGGAAAAAAATTAGGCAAACACCTACAAGTAGGAGCAAGCACATCCAGTAGTATTAATTTTTTTTCCCTTTATTTATTTATTTTTAGAGACAGGGTCTCATTATGTTGCCCAGGCTGGCATGCAGTGGCTATTCACAGGCACAATCTTACAGCACTGTGGCCTCAAACACCTGGGCTCAAATTAATCCTCCCACCTGAGCCTCCTGTAGCTATAGCTGGACTACAAGAATGTGACACAGTCCCCAGCTAATAGTAGTTTTTAAAAACAAAACTATTCCACAAAACCCTAGGGTTCTTCAGGATTTCATTTGTTATTTTAATTTTAAATGTATTATTAAAACAAATAAATATACACTTATATGTTATTAAACCAAACCTTAACCCTAAGACCAACATATTAACTTGTACTGCTTGGGTAACTCAGTTTTGGGTAGACCTAAGAATGAAGTTTCATCTACCACCTCTGTACAACTGAGAGTGTCCTGAGATGATGACAAGGCAAACTAAAAACAAACAAACAAAAAACCTTCTGCACTATTTATCAATCAGTACTGGACTGTCACAATACTTCACAAAAAACAACAAGAAAAACCAGAAATAAAATTGGATTCTAAAGCTGCAAGACTGCAACCATCTTGCTTAACCTCCAGTCTCAAATTGGCTTTACTAACAGCCTCATTTTCTCATAGACTGACAACTACAATAAATGTTATAAACTTCTCACTACCTAATACTTTAGTACTTTATTTTTGGGATCTTGTACAAAATTTTATTTTCTTAAAAAGGGTCTCCACATTTAACAAAGTTTTAAAACCATCTGAAAGAATCATACAAACTCTAAAAACTAAAAACTATTCCCCTGAGAAAAGCAATAGGTACCTGAACCCAAAGGATTAGTAATCTCTCACCCTAAGTGAAAACCTCAGAGACTTCAGAAGTTCTACAATTACTTACAACCAAGGACATAGAGATGTCCCAACAGGCAGACTATGTGTGAGTAGGGTAATTATTCCTTCTTTTACATTGATGACTCTCAAACTTACATCTCTAGTGTCTTCCTTCTCAACTCCACCCTCACTACAATGATACATTCACTCCCCAATGACCTTAAAGCACCAGTCTTTTTTTTTTTTTCATCCTTCTCTCTTTTAGCGCATCTAGGGCACAACTGCCAGATTAACTTGCCAAATAACATATTTTCTGATAGCTTAAGAGATGAACACCAAATTTTTCAAACTAGCACATAAACTCTGGTTCTAACTACTCAAACTTACTTCTACTCACTTTCTAATGCACTAGTCAAAAAGCTCTCAATGTTGTTCTACCCACCTCTAAACTTCCTAAAAACTACTATCTTCTCTGTTAATCCAGTGACTAAAATCTGAGGCTCACTTGCTCTGCAAATTATTTTCTAATTATTCTAAACTTAAAAATGTATCTTCCTTTTCTCTGAATGCTCACAGCACTTATGGTCTGTACTTCAGTCTAGTTTAGGGCTGATAGAATTTTTTGTGATAATGTAAAGGTTTGTAACAGTGCTTCGAATACTGTGGTCACTGGGAACATGTGGCTTTTGAGCACTTACAATGTAGCTAGTGGGACTAGAGAAACAATTTTTAATTTTAACTTAAACTTAATAGCCACATGACTACTGGCTACCATATTGGACAGCACAAATCTAGTGCTCTCTACATACAACCTGGACACAACTCTACAACCCAAACACTACAGATCCTATCAATCTATCTTGCTCCTAGACAATCTCTGTCTCCAATTAAATTAATTTGCCCATTGTTTCCAACATTCATTTGTCCACTCTGGACTCTTTGTGGCTTCTTAAACCATTTTGTACTGTATTTCAAGCAACTTCCACTTCCAGTACTTAATTACTGGTCACCCACTTACTATATGTCAAACACTGCAACAAGTATTTTGTTTATATTATCTCTAAACCTAATAACCTTACAAGGGTTTATTTATCTGAGAAAATAAACCATGGAAGATGAAATACATAACTCCAAAAAGCCTGTCCTTTTCCAGAATACTTTTCTAAATTCTGCTTGCTTTCAAGGCCTACCTCTAGACCACCATTCCTGAAGCAGTATGGTGTTCCTAAAGGTCCCAACCCAACTTACCAATCTCAACCCTTAAATATTTTGCCATAACTTTAGCATACACACATCCAGAAGTGAGTTTATTTTGAAACTGATAAAACTTAAGCTTCTGGACCACTCAAATGCATGGACCCCAGCCAATACCCTACACCTAATTTTGATTACATAATCATGTAATTTTTTAAAAAGAGGGTCCACAAAACTGGATTAGCTTCCAGGTCACGAAACATAGATATATAACTGGCATACACATCAGAACTCTTAAAGCAAGACCTGTCTATACTGGCCCCAGCTTGCTCTTTACTCCTTAAATGGATATTCTCTATCCTCCGAGGCGTTTCCTCTGGATCCCAAGACTGGCTATGAATGGTAGGTTTCCCTTGCTTCTTGTTTCCTAATTGCTCCCCAAAATAAACACATTAACACATTTTCTTTGTGAAAGTTTAAGAGCTAATCACAATGAAAACAAAAACAAGAGGAATTACAACAAAGGAGAATTACAAAGAAAAAATTCTTACAGCATGCCGCAAATTGATCTACAGATTGAACACAATCACAATCAGAATCACAACTGCCTTTGTGTAGAAATTGACAAGCTGATCCTAAAATTCATATGGGATTGCCAAGGACACAGAACAGCCAAAACAATCTTGAAAAAGAAGGAAGTTGAAGAACTCACACTTTCTGATTTCAAAACTTATTATTATATGAAGCTAGAGGAATCAGGACAGTGTGGTACTGGCATAAGGACAGAAATATTGATCAATGGGATAGAATCCAGAAATAAACCCTTATATTTATGGTTAATCAACAAAGGTGCCAATCTTTCAATGGGGGAAAGAACAGTCTTCAATAAATTGTGCTGGGACAACATATAAAAGAATGAAGCTGAACCCCTACCTCACACCACATACAAAAATTAACTGCAAAAAGATCACAGACATACATGCAAGAGCTAAAACTACAAAACTCTTGCACGAAAACATATGAGTAAATCCTCATGACATGGGATTAGGCAGTGCTTTATTAGATGTAACACCAGAATCAAAAGGAACAAAAGAAAAAACGTAACTTGGACCTCACCAAAAATTTAAAACTTCTGTAACCACAATATATAAAGAACTCTTACAACAAAACAATAAAAGGACAACCCGGTTTTTAAAAATGAGCGAAGGATTTGAATAGAAATCCAAAGAAGATATACAAATGGGCCAATAAGAAAAGATGCTCAAGATCATTAGTTATTAGGGTAATACATATCAAAACCACAATGAGGCCTGTAATCCTAGCACTCTGGGAGGCCGAGGCCGGCGGATTGTTTGAGCTCAGGAGTTCGAGACCAGCGTGAGCAAGAGCGAGACCCCGTCTCTACCAAAAATAGAAAGAAATTAATCGGACAGCTAAAAAAATATATAGAAAAAAAATAAATTAGCCAGGCATGGTGGCGCATGCCTGTAGTCCCAGCTACTTGGGAGGCTGAGGCAGTAGGACTGCTTGAGCCCAGGAGTCTGAGGTTGCTGTGAGCTAGGCTGACGCCACGGCACTCACTCTAGCCAGGGCAACAGAGTGAGACTCTGTCTCAAAAAAAAAAAAAAAAAAACCACAATGAGATCCCACTTCACAACCACCAGTAAAAGACAGACAACACCAAGTGTCAGGAAGGATATAGAGAAACTGGAATTCTCATACATTACTGGTGGGAATGTAAAATGGTGTGGCTGCTATGGAAAACTGGCAGTTCCTCAAGAAATTAAATACAGAGTTACCATATAACCCAGCAATTCTACTCCTAGACACCTACCTAAGAGAACTGAAAACAAATGTTCACACAATAACCTGTACATTAATGTTCATAGCAGCATAATGCATAACAGCCAAAAAGTGGACACAAACCCAAATGGCCATCAAATGATGAATGGATAAACAACATGCCCTGTATCCATATAATGGACTACTATTCAGCCGTAAAGAGTTATCAAGTACTGGATGGAAGTGCTACAACATGGATGAACCTTGACAACATGCTAAAACCAAATACAAAAGGCCACATGTTATATGATTGAATGTCCAGAATAGGTGAATCCATAGAGACGGGGCTGGGGTTAGGGGAGAATGGGGATTGACTGCTAATGATATAGGTGTCTTTGGGGGATGATGAAAATGTTCTAAAACGGACTGTGGTGCTGGTTGCACAATCTTGTAAATATGGTAAAACCCACTGATTTGTACATGTTAAAATGGCAAATTTTATCATATGTAAAGTACCTCAATAAACATGTTTTTAAAAATATCTTACCACAATGGCTTCTGGCCACACTGTCTATTGAAATAGTAAAATAAAAATGCCATTGGACTTCTGCCCTTCTGAGGGGTGGGGGTCACTAATCTGTACTTTTCTAAATCATGCTTTGGTAAAAGCTCCAAAAACCCTTTCCTCCAAAATGGCCTTTTACCCAGTACTTGGGTATGCTTTGTAGCGATCTTTCAGGTGGGTAGCTGAATCTGAGGGCTCTCACAATACTCATCTCAAGAAGCTCCTCATACACACTGACTTGGTATTTCCACTTAAAAATTATCACAAATAATTTGTTATAAGCATAAATTATTTAAATTACAGATTTATTTAAACATTTACTTATTCATATCCACATATATTTCCAGTTTTTGTTTCAACTAGACCATGAAATCTCCAGAAGAGGCCCAAGTCTAAAAAGTCTGTGCCCTAAAGTCTGTGCCCTAATACTGCCCCAGTGCCGTGCGCACTGTTAGTGTCCAACGTAGTCCTTTGTTCCAAGGGGCTGATGATACCCTGTCAACAACATAAATGTGGGGCTACATTCCAAGTTCCACCACTTACTTAGCTTTGTGACTTTAGGCAAGTTGCTTAAACCGTGCGCCTCAGTTTACTCTTTCCTAAAATGAGGCTAGCAATACCTGCCCGTTGGTGTTTAGCAAAAAAATTTTTAAGTGATGGGTGATACGCTGAACACAGTATGGGGCACACAGAAACGTAAGCAGTTATTGTCAGTTCGGAATCAAATCTTTTTCTTCCCATGTACTTGCACCTTGTCTTGCTATTAGTTCTTGTAAATTGCAAATATCGTTGTCTTGATATCAGCCCTCTTAATCAGCTCCCTCACCTGCGCCGAAAGTAAGATGAGAGAATAAAAGAAAAAAGAAGAAAACTCCTAGCATCCAGCAAGGGCGCAAAAGAAAAAAGAAAAATGTTCCTTTCTTTTCCGTCTCCGTGGCTAAGGCGGTTTCTTTAGCATCACCCTACAGCCCCCCCGTGCACCCAGCCGAAACGCCATCGATCTGGCTCAACAGCTTCCAGACACATCCGCGGACAAACAAGTGATGTCTCCAACAACGCCGACCGTAACCCCACGTCAGGGAGCCATTTTTCCCAGTTGAGGAGATGAAAAGGTGTACAAGAGGTAATAAGTAAAAATATCCCTGCCTTCAACCATCGGTCTCCCCTTCCGCACGTCGCCCGGGTCCCCACACAAAGACCGTATTCAACCCAGGCAGAGACCTTCCCTTCTCTCACCCCGCCCGACCAGCTGCAGGGGAGGTGGGGCGGGCGGTCCCGGGGCTGAAGGCCCGAGGCCGGGGTGGCGGGTGAGGGCTGGACAGCCTCGGGGAAGCTGGGCCCCGGGTTGTGTCGTTCCAGGGAGGGGTCGAGACTCACCTTGGCCCGCTTGCGCCGGCTGGTCCGTCGCCCCTCCGGAGTCTCTGCTATTCCCGTTTCCATGGGGGTCGCGGACCCAGGCACGACTGTAGGCCCGGCCTGAGGCCCGGCAGACCCCGGCGGCTCGGCCAGACCCCCGGGGGGCGAGGCCCGCGGAGGCTCCTTCTTGCGGGGCGTGCGCTCCCCGGCAGCCCCCGGCCCGACCTCGGGAGGGCCAGACAGGCCCGCGGCCGGCGCCGCCACCTCGGAGCCGTTCTCAGCGCCGCCCGCCGTCCCCGGGCCGGACTCCGTCCCGGCAGCCGCCGCCGCCGCCGCCGCCGCGGCTGCCGCTTTCTTCCCAGACAACATCTCGGGCCGCCGGGCCGCCGACGGCCGTAGGGACCGCTGAGCCTGCCGCTCCGTGAGTCCGGAGCCGCCGCGCCTCGACTCGCCTGACGCCGTCCGCGCGCCGCCAACCGCTGTCGTACACGCACGCGCCTAGCGCGCTCCCGCCTCGTCGGAACAAAAAGGCCCTGAGCCGCCCATTGGCCCCGCCCCTCCCCCGCAACCATAGAGCGGCGTCCTCGCGGCCAGAGCGACGTCGTGCAAAGAGCGCGATGCTCGCCTAGAGCGTCTCCTCGGCCTTTGGAATCGGTCCCAGCATAGGCCGCGGTCTTAGGGCTTCTGGGCAGGACTTGCACCTCCGAGGGCGACCATTTCCTCAGGGACTTGTGGGCGTGTATGCGCGAGTTCATTCATTCTCTCAGTCACTCATTCGTCAATTCAACCAATATTTATTAATGCTTACTACATGACACGGGTTAAATTACGAAGTTTTGCTTTCAAAGAACTTACAGTCGAATGGGGGGAACACACCGAAGTGCATTGGTGGATATCTTATTTATTCATAATTGTCCTGCTTAGACTGGGGAAAACTTGGAAAGCATATGACTTTCCGTGGTAATAAAATGGAGACAAGTTAGGAAATTGAGGTTTTTGAGTCCAGATGGGATTGATCCTGCCCCCAAGTTTTTGTTCAAGTTCTTCCTTCTGCCTGGCACCCCCTTGCTTGCACTATCCCCCCACCATGTGTCCCTCCCCCTCCACAACTCTTCTTTCTACTCCAGGTTACTTCTTTCTAATGACGATTGTAGTGGTTTGTTCTTTTAATTCTTCCAAGAATCCCTCACTGACACAACACTAGAGCAGGTCTTGTGTTCTTCGAGCATATTTCCACCTATTACACAGATCTATAATTGCCTTTTTAATAGTCTCTTCGAAGTATAGTTTTCAAAAAATTATTCTATTTACATGAAATTCAAGAACTGGTCAAACTGGGCTCTAGTGATAGAATCTAATCAGCGGTTGTCTGGGACGGGGTGTGGGTTGACTGCAAAAGAGCAGGAGAGAACTTGCTGGGGGTGATGGAAATGTTTTATATCTTGATGGAGGTGATGGTTACAGAGGTGTATATATTCATCAAAACTCACTGAACCATACATATAAAATAGGTGTATTTGTTTTACGTAACTGTACTTCAATGAAGTTAATTTTTTAAAAAACTAGGCAAACAAAAAAAGAGGCAATTAAGTCCAGGAAGACGGAAGAAACGTGCAAGAAAGAAAATGTACCCAGGCGTTGTGGCACGTGCCTGTAGTTCCAGCTACCCGGGAGGCTGAAGTGGGAGAATGGCTTGAGCCGGGGAGTTCGAGTCCAGCCTGGGCAATAAAGCCACGCCATTTCTTTTCTCTAAAAAAAACAAAGAAAGAAAATGTACAACATATGGCTCAACTGTGAACTATATTGACATGGCCATAATAACATAAGCAATGAATATTGTTTTAACCAAAATGATAGAATTATATTGAAAGAATGGAGAAAAGAGAAAGTTTGGGGGGAGAGGGATGAGAAGAGTTTAGGGAAAGGCGGATGAAGTGGGGATGGGGGAGGTGCTGCTTGGGAGCTAAATCTTCATGTTCCATCACAAAAACACAATACATAATGTCAAAATCGAGAAATGAAGAAATAACAATATAAGCATGTTATTTATCAAGATAAATATAGAAGAAATAGATAAAAGAGTTGGAATTGGTTGTTTCTGAGGCTTGAAATGTGAGGGTGGGAAGAGGTGAGGTCGGGGACTGAAGCTTGTTTTATTTATTTATTTAGAGACAGGGTCTTGCTCTGTTGCCCAGTAGAGGAATATATATATGGAGTGAAATATGTTGTCAGTACTCAGTAGAAAACAAAATACTGGAATGTGATTGCAAAGTTAAATAGGAAAAATGGTTAATGTTCTACAAGTCCATTAAACTGTAAACTTTGGGGTTATATTTTCTATCAGACAATTAATTTCCATCTATTTGCAAAAAAAATCAATTACAATTTATTGTTTTTTCCTAGAAATAACTAATTCATTTCAGTTCTTTTTATTGTGATAAAATACACATAATGTAAAATTTACCATCTTAACCATTTTAAGTACAGTTTAGTAGTAATTAAGTGCATTCATGTTGTTGTGCAAACAATCTCCAGAACTCTTCTCATCTTGTAAAACTCTGTACCTGTTAAACAACAACTCTACCCCTCCCTCTAGCCCTTGGCAACCACCATTCTACTTTCTGCCTTTATGAATTTGACTATTCTAGGTACCTCATATAGGTGGAATCATATAGTATGTGTCTTATAATTGGCTTATTTCACTTAACATAATGTCCTCAAGGTTCATCCACGTTGTAACATGCCAGAATGTCCTTCCTTTTTGAAACTGAATAATATTCCATTGTATGTGTGTGTGTATA